GGCGGGGTAGCCTAGTGGTTAAAGCGTCCGCCCGTAACGCTGAAGACCTGGGTTCGATTCCCCACATGGTTACAATGTGTGAAGCCCATTTCTGGTATACCCCGCTGTGGTATTGCTAGAATATTGCTAAAAGCGTCGTAAAACCATACTCACTCAATCAATCACTCACTCACTCAAATGATTGCAAAAAATGGCGTAAAATTATACTCACTCACTGTACTGTTTTGGCGCTTTAAAGCAGTTAGGTATTATACAAGGCATCTTAGTTGATAGCAGCAAAGGCTATTTTTTTCTTTTACGTCCGGTACTATCTATTTCTGGGAAATTATTTTGTGGCTCTTATGTTTTGAGGGGCGGTGGTGTAGCCTAATGGTTAAAGCGTTGGCTCGTCACGCCGAAGACCCGGGTTCGAATCCCCACATGGGCACAATGTGTGAAACCCATTTCTGGTGTCCCCGCCGTGATGTTGCTGGAATATTGCTAAAAGCGGCGTAAAACCAAACTTAGTCAGTCAGTCTAATGTTTTGAATTTTCCCGGCTGGTTATAATGTTGGTGATGTTGCCATTGATGCTTGTGTAATTCCTCCTTTTCATTTCTCCATTTAAATGTGTGTTCTAATAGGCATTGAGGATGAATACGGGACTACTCAGATAAAAACCTACACATTGGCATTTAGAAACAAAGTAGATGGTCTTTGAGATGTGTCAGTACACCTTAAATGTGTATGTTTTTAAGAATTCCGGTGAATAATATTTGCAATGAATAGATGAATAGAAGTTGCAGGATGAAAGCATATTGATAGAGATCAATCAAGATACATAACGCCAGATGTCGCATCAACGGGGTGATAGTGATAGAGATCTCGTCTGAACTCAGTCCATATACTGTTGCACGATTACAGTGAGTGAATGCGTTGATTTTAGCAACAGCCCGCTTTAAGCAATATTCCGGCAATCTCACGGCAGGGGAAACACACTGTACCTACATGTATGATGGGACCATACCCGGGACTTGGGTGACAAGGGAATAAGTGACCCACATTCGTCACCATTCGCCCCTTTCCGTAACCTCCAAGAAGGCTATTCGGCTTGTCCCGGAATAACACAAGTGGGTCACGAATGTGTGACCAACTGGTGTTATTCCGGAACAAGCCGAATCTTCTTTTAGGTTACGGAAAGGGGCGAGTTGTGACGGGAATATATTAACCACTCGGTCTTTGTCGATTGCTTCCTGGACAATGAAGGTATTGCATGACACAGACACATAACGAAAGGCTGTTCACGTCACGACATGAACTGGAATGATCTGAACCATGGAAACATGGCTGTACCATCACTAAATTGTACTTACATGGCAAGTGCGAGGGGTCATATTTGAACGCATACACATCGGCAACGTGGACGATGGCGAAGGCGACGATGATTACGAGACTGCGGTTCATTGTTGCCACACGTGGATGACGATGTGGCGTGTATCGTGTATGCAGCAGCTTTTCATGCATTTTAATATTCATGTTAATATGTAACGCTTTCGTTTATCGTTTATGTATGGCACTTTGCGGCATCTGGTTCTTACATATTTGGAATCAATACGTCCATAGATCAAAATCAAAACTTCCAGAGTTCACTCTGGAGTCATTTAGGCCAAGTCTGTGATCACTGGAGTATTTCGGGCCAAGGCTGTGATCACTGAAGTCATTCGGGCCAAGGCTGTGATCACTTTAGAGTTGTTTCGGAAAAGGCTGGGATCGCTCGAGAGTCGCTTCGGCCATTGATGAGTGCGCTCGAGAGTGACTTGGGCCAAGGCTGAGATCGCTCGAGAGTGACATGGGCCAAGGGTGAAATCGCTCGAGAGTGACTTGGGCCAAGGCAGAGATCGCTCGAGAGTGACTTGAGCAAGGCTGGGATCGCTCGGGAGTGACTTGGGCCAAGGCTGAGATCGCTTGAGAGTGACTTGGGCCAAGGCTGAGATCGCTCGAGAGTGACATGGGCCAAGGGTGAAATCGCTCGAGAGTGACTTGGGCCAAGGCAGAGATCGCTCGAGAGTGACTTGAGCAAGGCTGGGATCGCTCGGGAGTGACTTGGGCCAAGGCTGAGATCGCTTGAGAGTGACTTGGGCCAAGGCTGAGATCGCTCGAGAGTGACTTGAGCAAGGCTGGGATCGCTCGAGAGTGACTTGGGCCAAGGCTGAGATCGCTTGAGAGTGACTTGGGCCAAGGCTGAGATCGCTCGAGAGTGACTTGAGCAAGGCTGGGATCGCTCGAGAGTGACTTGAGCAAGGCTGGGATCGCTCGGGAGTGACTTGAGCAAGGCTGAGATCGCTCGAGAGTGACTTGGGCCAAGGCTGAGATCGCTCGAGAGTGACATGGGCCAAGGGTGAAATCGCTCGAGAGTGACTTGGGCCAAGGCAGAGATCGCTCGAGAGTGACTTGAGCAAGGCTGGGATCGCGCGGGAGTGACTTGGGCCAAGGCTGAGATCGCTTGAGAGTGACTTGGGCCAAGGCTGAGATCGCTCGAGAGTGACTTGAGCAAGGCTGGGATCGCTCGAGAGTGACTTGAGCAAGGCTGGGATCGCTCGGGAGTGACTTGAGCAAGGCTGAGATCGCTCGAGAGTGACTTGGGCCAAGGCTGGGATCGCTCGAGAGTGACTTGAGCAAGGCTGAGATCGCTCGAGAGTGACTTGAGCAGGGCTGAGATCGCTTGAGATTGACTTGGGCCAAGGCTGAGATCGCTCGAGAGTGACTTGGGCCAAGGGTGAGATCGCTAGAGAGTGACTTGGGCCAAGGCTGAGATCACTCTAGAGTGATCTGGACCTGGCCTCAGATCATCTGTTTGTTGAACACTTGGCATCAGTACGCTAACTAGATACACGCGGGACATACGGGAACGTGAGGGAGATATGTTTGATGAGGCTTACAACATACAAAGCAGTTTTTGAAACGTTTCACGGAGACATGGGGTGGACGTTAGTAGTATATAGCAGGTCGTCAGACGGTCCTTTTGGTTGAGGGAGGTTGAGGGAAGGGTAAGGACATGGATTGGCTGATGTAAGTCATGTGATCATAGCTGATAGGTAAATATAGACAGCACGTCACAGGTCAGGAAAGTTCAATGAAAGGTGTGGGTGTTTTAAGGCAGCAAACTCTTCATTAAGCGAAAAACAAAAGCAAAGTGTCCTGAATAGAGCTATGTATAGCATGCTGCCTAGAATAGACAGACAGACAGTACCCGTCAGCCCGGTTTTGAATTGAGCGCGCTTGACAACTCACGTGACTCCGTCGTTTTCAAATAGCCCGCGCTCGACAGAGGGTGCGACCTGTTTTGATGGATGCAGGCTGTGTGTGTGCTGAAAGTACGTCGTATCACAATAGAGACGGGTTGTGTCAACATGGTTCGGAGACGGAATCTTCGAGTCATGTAAAATGTAGTTGAAAAACATTTCATACAGAACGCGTCCTGTACAAGTATAACACTATCAAAGTAATGGAAAGTTGGTGTAGGTTTATATTTCATACTAGTTTTTTTCCATCCAAATATAGCGTGATGAGAAATAAATGATTTTGAGCCATGTACTCTAATGGATACAGTTTTAGTTTTACTAGACAGCGAGATGTTTGAAAAAAAAGAGGCTAGATAGAGATAGAAGCATATCAATATCATATAGCACACGTATAATACCATGAAAATCACGTCATTTGGAGAGAGACGAAAGAAATAGAAATGTAGAAGCTAGGAATCTGCTTATTGAAACAGTTCTGTCGTGCCCTGTTCAGACTGAGAACAGATTTGAGAAATTTAGAACGTGACACCCTCCCACCTCATCATTTCAAAATGCGTATGTTAGCTCGTATAAAATAAAGATAGTTATACCTCAGTCCAATAAAAAAGAACTCGCAAAATATCAGTGGCATTTTGAAAATAACTAAATCCAACTTCAGTTGTAGATAGCATCACATTATAGGCAACGTGATCAGACTGAAAAACCATAGTTCACAAAGCATACTCAAGGAGGACGACATGCATGACTGAACAGTCAATGCAACAGGCAGGTGTGTGTACTATTCGGTGTGTGAACTGAGGGCTGTGAAGGAAAAGGTTCAATGTCTTTTCCTGTGTGGGCATACATGGGTGGTCCTTATCCCAACCCGTCAGTCATGTCTTCTAGCGAGATACACGGGTGCGTTGAATGATCAGTTACTATATGTCAATCATTCGCCAGAACCGTGCTATATAAGCACCACCCGAATATCAGAGCGTCATTTCAGTTTCAACAACGAGCGAGAATTCATCAACTTCTACGTGACCAGTCTGAACATGGACTCAACAAAAGCGTAAGTATACTTCTTAATGAGGTCTCACTATTTAATTTTTATAAATGAGAATGCTACAGCTAACAAATGTTTTGATTTCAATAAAAGGGTATATGTTAGTATAGAGTTTCATGACCAAGTTTATGAAATCATGTAGAAACAATTTTTGTATCCCTAGCGTGAATTGAAAGAAACGTTATGTCTTTCAGACAATTTACCTGTCCACAGTGCGGGAAAGGTTTTAATAGAAAAGATAACCTTTGCCGTCATGTGCGATCAGTCCACCGGGGAGAACTCTACGTGTGCTTTACATGCACAAAATCTTTTGCTTCAAATCAAATGTGCCTTGTCGCAACAACGTCTATCGGAATATCGATGTAGCGTGAGTAGTGTTTATTATTTATGTGTAAGTTCTCGCTTCTGTCTGCTATAATATCATCAGATATATTTCATCATATGTAGAGATATTATCTTCCTATGTCTTTAACCGACTGTTTCATAAGGTGTATATTTTAAAGACGTGAGCAATGTTGTCTACAGTTTCAAATGTTACTTTGACATAGTATCGCAGTGGTTATCATCAGTAAAAGTTAAATGTTACAGCGACATAGCGACAAACTTCCTATAATTGAGAGCTATTTGCTTAAAAATGTTACTTCTATATATACAGAAATGCCCCGAGGTGTTCCATTCTCCCCGTGAGCTGGGCGTGCATTTTCGGCGCGTTCATTCTTCTGGTGAGTTTATGTTCATCTCCGAAATTAATCTTGTCTATGTGCTGCTTCCGTGTATTTTCGAGTGTGTTTTAGTTTAGTATGATAATGATGTATATTTACAGGCACAACTACGCAAACAGATGTTCACGCACGCCCGTCTACCTCGAGAGGAGTGCCGGTTAGTGGGGGTAAGCTCTATTATATCTCTCTGTCACTTCATTCATCCATGTACGATGGTTAGTATTACCGAGGTTCGTACCGCATAGGGTTTCAATGTATGTGTGTGTGTATGTGTGTGCGCGCGTGCGTGTGTATGTGTGTGCGCGCGTGCGTGCGTGTGCGTGTGTGTGAGTGAGTGAGTGAGATGTGTTTGTAGATAGCATCGGCCGGGGAATGTTTTCAATAAATTGTTTTTGTATTTCAGGGACAAGCCAGCCGACACCGTCCACCTCCTCGGGTCAGGCTGCAAGGGCGGGAAACTCTCGTGCTAGTGGAGGTAGATGTTGAATAGTATTTTATATGCTAAGGGTTTTAGATAGCCCTGAATTATGTATTAATTCAGTTCGTCATAGTGTTAATATGTATTCGCTTTGGAAGTATCATAGAATGTGTTTATATGTATTCGCTTTGGAAGTATTACACCATGTGTTAGTCATGAGTTTTATGTGAAGCATAAGAGCTCGTAGTGAGTGAATGATGCTGTTATATGAGACTTAGTATTCATACATTGATTTTTTTCTCTATCACCAGCTCCCTCGTCTTCCCGCGTCGCAGCATCGCATGGTTGTACCTGCCGGATGTGTCATAGGCGTTTCGAGGATCGGTTGTCTCTCTACCATCATCAGATGATAGAGGGACACCGCGTCCTACCATCCCAATCCGGCGGGAGTAGGGATACCGATGCTGCTGCTGGCAGTGAGCTCCAACCACGCCCATGGGGAGAAGGTCCCGCCCCATGGGTAGATGAGAGCACTGGCGAGGTGACAGAGCCCGGACTCCAGGAAGCCTATGACCTGGACGCTCCGTTTATCCTCGCACGGGACCAACCCGGGGAGGTGTTTTCTATCTACAACCTCCCCCTTAACAACAACTTTTCCATAGGTGAGTTGATGGAACGCTCTAGGGATATCTATCAATCGTTAAATTATAGTTTTAGATTGAATCTAGCGTTTGGTGTCATCCTACGGCACGTGGAGACGGGACGCTATCGCTATTTCCATCCTTATGCTGTCGATCCTCTCTTTACTAGTCCTCTCTATTTCATCGAGTTGGAGGATCTCGAACGGCTGCGTCAGAGACTGGAAAGCTTAGATGTCATGTCATTACTCCTCAAACAACGCCCCGATACCAAATGGAAACCTGTTTTGATTACCAATGTGAATTTCTTTATTTACAGAACAAATTTTCCGCTCGGCCACCCTCCAGCCCCTCTCCCTGAATATATTAAAAATCATAAAGCCATCCGTTCTTTAGATTATAACAAGAAGACTAAACAACTTTATAAAGATCACTTATGCGCTTTCCGGTGTTTGGCATTGCATCGAAATCCTACAAGTCGGGGTGCTTTAGAAAAACCTACCAAAGCTCTTCACTATCAGTGGGTCGTGTACTGTCGGGACCATCATCTCCAGTCTTTCTATAAGATTGGTCCCGAAGAGTATAAAGGTCTCGACCCAACTCTCTTACCTCACTTTGAAACCTGTTTCCGTGTGAATCTGAGCGTGTTCACTCTTGACGTGACGGGAGTAGCTCAACCCGTGTATAAATCTCAAGGGGTGTATCAGGAACACATGCACTTAAATCAATTTGAAAATCACCTCTCCCTCATTACCAGTATGAACATCTATTGTAAACGCTACCAGTGTCCCATGTGCGAACGTCTCTTCAGGCGTCAAAACCATTGCAACGAACACCAACGTCGTTGCACGGGTCAAACGACTTTGCGGTTCCCGGGTGGTTTCCACCACACTCCAAAGACCGTGTTTGACGAGCTGGAAGAGTTCGACTTCGTCGTCGAGGCTAGAGACAGATATTTTCCGTGGTTCGTGGTATTTGATTTTGAGTGTTTTTTGAAACCCATGAATACCGGAACCCAGAAACTGAGATGGACACAAGAACACCACCCCATCTCAGTCAGCGTGTGTTCCAATGTGGAAGGGTTTACTTCACCACACTGCATCGTCGATTCCGATCCGGATCGATTGATTGCTGCCATGTTGGCATACATGACGGAAATAGGCAAAGCCGTTAACAAGCTAGCCAAAGAAAAATATAAAGAGGTGTTAGAAAGCTTGCGTGAGTGCATAAAGTCGTTGCCTGTGGAGGACCAAACGACTGTTGACGATGATGATGATGATGTCAACATTAGGGAGGGTGACAACCATCCCGCCCATGGCAAACCTACTCGCTCGCACTCTACACCCGAGGCAAAGTGGGGAAAGCACGTGAGCGATCTCTGCGGGAAGCTTCTGGGGTACTGTTCTCAAGTCCCCGTCCTCGGATTTAATTCAGCTCGTTACGACCTGAATACCATTAAGGAGAAACTACCCAAACATCTCTCTCTCGACGACAAGGAATCTCAGGCTTTCACCGTGAAGAAAAACAATGCTTACTTGTGTCAAAGTAATCAAAGTTTCAAATTTCTTGACGTCACGCAATATCTCTCTCCCGGAACGAGTTATGTTCAGTTTCTGAAAGCATTCGGAGTGCAAGAGAAAAAGGGATTTTTCCCGTATGAGTATCTCGACACTCCGGAAAAGCTAAACGAGACTCGGCTTCCCCCTCTGGGTGAGGCATGGTATTCCAGTCTCAAACAGAAGTCCGTCCTCGACGATGGTGTGAAATCGATCGAGGAGAATTATGCCGACCTCGAGGAAGTTTGGAGACTGGAAGGCATGTCCACGTTTCGAGATTTCCTCGAGTGGTATAACAATCTGGACGTGGGTCCCTTTGTGGAAGCCGTACAAGCCATGCAGCGGTTTTATTTCGAGGACGGTATCGACCTCTTTAAAACCACTATGTCGGTACCCGGTGTGGCCCGACAGAAATTGTTCCGAGAGAGTCAAAAGAAAGGGGTTTCCTTTGCACTGTTCGATAAACGCAACGAAGACCTCTATCACACCGTAAAAGCTAACGTGGTCGGCGGTCCTTCTATTATATTCACGAGGTACCACAAAGCCAATCAAACGTTGATTAGAGACTATCCCGACAAATGGTGTAAAAGGGTGGTTGGGTATGACGCGAACGCGTTAAACTTGTGGGCTATAGATCAGCCCATGCACACCGGTCCTTTCGTGCGTAGGAGAGCCGAGAATCGATTCAAGCCGGAACGCAGGGACAGGTACGCGTGCATGTACGACTGGATGGATTGGTTGAGGGAGCAGGAAGGGCAGGACATTGGGCACAAGTTAAACTGGGGGCGGGAAAAACGAGTCGGGCCGTACTTGGTTGATGGGTTCATTCCTGGCTCCATGACTGTATACGAGTTTCATGGATGCTATTTCCACGGCCACTATTGTCACCTCACGGCGAAAGCGCGCTCTCGGGAAAAATTACGAGAATGATTGGAACAAAAATTAAAGGCAACCAGAGCGCGCATTGCTTATATCCGTGATTTGGGTTACACGGTCGTGGAAATGTGGGAATGTAACTTTCGCGCCGAATGTAAAACTAATTCCCAGCTCTCGTCCTTTATCCGAGGTCGACAACCACCTTTTTCTCAAAAGAAAGGGTGGAAGCAGGTCTCGGAACGGGACATGTTGAACGCTGTGGAAAAGGGGGAAGTCTTTGGTATGGTGGAAGTGGACATTCGCGTCCCCGATCACTGGATGCCCGGACAGAACCCTCACGGCACTCGTCTCTCCCCGGGGGAGTACTTCCAAGAAATGACTCCCCTATTCTGCAATGCAGAAGTTCCTCTCAAGGTTCTCGGGGAACACATGCAGGAGTACATCAGGGAGAACGACTTGAGTACAAAACCGCGCCGTATGCTCGTTGGCGGGTTAAAGGCGTGGAAAATCCTGATCGCCACCCCTCTGTTGCAATGGTATTTACAGCACGGCATGGTGGTTGATCGCGTGTACCAAGTCGTCGAGTACACCCCGAACGCGTGTTTTCAACAGTTTGTTCGGGACGTGTGCTCAGCCAGACGAGAAGCCGACCGAGATCCCTCAGCAGCCATTCGCGGGGATACGGCTAAACTTACGGGCAATTCCGCGTACGGTTCGGTATTGATCAATAAAGAAAAACATCAGACCGTTTCGTACGTGTGTGGTCAAACGGAGGCCAGCACTCAAGTCAATTTCCCTCAATTCAGGAAATTAACGGAACTGGGCGGGGGTTATTTCGAGGTAGAGAAAGCCAAGAAAGTCTTACACCTCGATACGCCCGTGCAGCTGGAGTATTTTATCCTGCAGTACGCTAAACTGCGCATGCTTCAATTTTACTACGATTTCATGGACGTGTACGTGGATCGTAGCGATTTTGAATACATGGAGATGGACACGGACAGCGCTTACATGGCTTTGAGCGCGAAATGTCTGTCCGATGTCATTAAACCCGGCAAACAGTTGGCGTACCAGGACCAGTTAAAGGGGTTCTGTGGTGACAATAACCCGGACGATAGCTACCTCACGCGTTGGTTTCCACGCAGTTGCTGTTCTATCCACGCCCTTCACGACAAACGTACTCCGGGTTTATTCAAACTCGAGTACGAAGGAGATGAGATGATCTGACTGTGTAGTAAAACGTACTTGGTGTCACAGTCCAGTCTTCAGCAAACTCCAAGCCAGCACCGAGCTCGAGCGTACATACGGCACAACGTTTACTATGCCGAGCTCGCCACCGGCTCGGTCGCATCAAGCCCGTCAATAACAAGGTCCGACGCCTCCGTTCAACCACCCCTATCGTCGGTCATTTCGAACGCAGGGTAAAATTCTCCTGTAAAGGCATCTCAAAACGCACATTGAAAACACCACTAAGAGCGTTTAGAGATGTTTTACGTACGCGAGTACCTGGCGAGGGGTTGAACAGAGGTTTCCGACTCAAGGGGAATATCATGTGTTCTTATCAACAGAAACGTCAGGGGTTGAGTTATCTGTACTGTAAACGTCGAGTGTTGAACGACGGCATTCACACGGCACCTCTCGACCTCGAGCTTTGTCCCTGGCCTGCCCGCGATGATAGGTTGGATGACACCGATACCTTTTTAGCCCAACTTTTAGAAAATTTAGCTGAAAATTAAGAAAAGGTCATCCCTCTTGCGTTCCCTCAACTCCAGTAGTGTACATATTATAGTTATTTATTTATTTATTTATTTATTTATTTATTTATTTATTTATTTATTTATTTATTTATTTATTTATTTATTTATTTATTTATTTATTTATTTTTTATTTATTTATTATTAGAAGCATATTGTGTTAAACATATCAAGTATTTCTATCAAAAGTATTCTCTTTACCAGTTGTGATATTTTGGTTTCTCAAACCATTTTCCTCTAATATTACTATAAATTAAATTAATGTTTGCCAAATGTATATACGTGAATAAATCTATGTTATTCTGGAAAGTGTTTGTTGTCCTGTCTTATGATATGTATGTCTACTTTCTAGAAGTCGTGTATGAAAAAGAAAAATAATAATACAGCAATTTACATTCAAGCCATATCCACTGGAACGGAATGTACTGTCTATGATTCCGGTATAGAGTACACTGTGAGAAAATAAGACTAGTTCCCTTCGGTGTAGGTGAAACGAGGCTATGACTAAGTTTCATGGGAGCCATTCTGTACCAAGACGCGAGAGCGATGCTTTGCGCTATTATGTTTATTGTTAATGAATTGGGGTGTAGGCAGGATGCTTATTGTAGGCGCAATGGGGACAGACCCTTTAAGAGCGACCTCAGCGTACTGCGACTCTGCTTACAGCAGAGCATTCACACAAACAACATGAGACTACCATTCTATCTATTCAGTGTTTATTACTTTAACAGCTTGTCATGATGATACATATTCAGACAATATAGGCATTTTAATACATTCCAGTGGCAACATGAGACAAACTTTATATCCATTCACGTTTGAAACTAACAACTTGTAATCACATGAGAGATTCAATACTATTTTAATAAGCAGTTTCCAATGGTTTGAGCTTCGTCGCACCGGGAACACCATGCTTCGCTTTGCCACGCACGTACATGGACTGAGTTCGTTTTCTCTTGCCTTTTCCCACCTAAGAGTAAAAAGCTTGCGAGTTGGGTAGTTGTGTCAGTTGACGGGTAAAGGCTTGATATCCAACATCTTTTCTATCGCCACTCTTTAGCACAAACTGTCGAATGCAGTCAATCACATTAGAATGTTTTATAGGGTTTCCATGTTCATCCAACCATTCGAGTTTAGCATTCCAGTTAATGCGACCGAGTTCTTTCTGCTGGTTGAGATACTGCCATAGGGACACTAATTTTCCCTTTTGCTCATCCGTCTTGACGTGTTGTAACAGTGGTGTTAGGACATCGTTTAGGGGGTGGCTTGCTGTTGCATTTCCTCCTCCTGTTAACTGGTCGTGTGGTGAGGCTATGGTATTGTGGATGGACGCGTCACGCTCCACGTCTGATTCCTCAGCTGTAGTGTTGACTACTGGAGTCTGCTCCTGCTGGGGGATAGGGGCTGGTGGGGGTTTCAGGATCGGATGGGAGCCGCTTTCCATCTTCGGAGCAGCTTGAATCAGACGTTGGTAGGTCTCGCGAGATAACAGAATCATGGGTTTCGTCATGGTCCGAGTGATAGAAATATCGATCCAATGCTCGTACACAAAGTGGTAATATAAAGTGAAAAGAAACCAACAACTCCCTTTTAGCTCGATATCCTCCTTGTTTGCTGTTCAGTAGCCGAATAATCTTCCTGTACCGATACAAGGTCTTTTTCTCTTGATCCGTCACGGGAATGTAACCGATGATGATGTTATGTAACAACGTGATGATCGCCTTAAACTGGGGTTTGGTCAGATGAGACAGTAACGTTTTACGCTGTACAGGCTTAGATTGTCTCAGTACGTGGAGAAAATCCACATTGTCTCGAATACACTCACTCATGGTGTGTACCGATTCTTTTTGTAAATGTAGCACGTAGGTCCCCCGTATGAATAAGCTAGGTCCACCCCGGTGCGCCAAGCTTGTCGAAGTGAGTTTATGCACGCCTCTTTCGACGAAAAGAAGGGGGAGCTCTCCTTTAAGGTGATCTCTTCAGCCTGCTGCGGGGTAGCTCTTACGGATAAGATAGAGGGTGGTGGGTTACACACGATCGTCCAAAAGTAGACCTTGCTCATAAGCGCTGCTGTAAGACTAACTCGACCAAAGAGTGTTTATCGGTTTTATTTGGGAAAATAGAGGGTGCAAAGTTCGCCGGGTAAGATACCGGTGCGTAAGCGTCTGTATTCCGGATCACTATACGGCGATGCATCCACAACTAAATAACCGTATTTCCTCCCTTCCACGGCATCCTTATAGGATTCCGAAAAATACTTGCTTTGACCTGGAAACACTTGCGAGGCTAAAATCTTGTATTCATGCGCGGAACGGGGATTGCTCATTAAGACGAACATATGCGTATTCACGCTCACGGTCCGTGAACAAGGACCTTTTGGGTAGACAGACTGTAGCAGGTTGAGTACGGTAATGCCTAGATGATGCGATAAAGTGGTGTACACGTTTAACATGAGTTTGCTGGTACATATGTCCATCATGAGATCGTCTAACACGAGAATCATGTTTTTGCTCGATTGATTGGACCACAAACGCAAATCGCTTTCACTGGGCAACGATTCGTGAAAATGAATGTTGGGGATCGATTGCTGCATGTTGGCGTACAGATCCTGCCACACCCCGTAACAGTACACGATTAGGTTGGGTGGCTTATCAAACACTGTATTGGCATTCTGTAACAACCGTTTCGTCCAATAGGTTTTCCCGCTACATGTGCCCCCAATCACGGATAAGGTGGTAGGTGTGACGATAGGGAGCAAACATTTCTCGGACATAGTGTTAGCTCACGGAGTGCCTGTCTAAACTGATTCATTCTATCACTGGTGTGGGTTTTTTATGCAGCTCTCGGTATGAGTGGCTGTTGTTGCTGACGACGCCTAGCCAGCCTTTGGAGAGCTCTTTGGGCTTCGTCTTTGACCTGTCTGACATGTTCATACTTGAATATAAACCGAATCAAGGGAGTATGGTTTAACAGGGTTCGCTTAATGCTTCTACCCGTTGTCTCCGCTCGAGCGATACGTCGCAACATCCTCAAATAATTATTGTGGGGATTAGGCTGCAAGAAACGGCGTTGCTCTCCACGTGTGACTGGTATGCGAGCATTGAGCAGTCGCTTTACAATGGCTTTAGTACCCTTGATTTGTTCGTTATTCATGGCACGAATATCACGCAAAGTTTCTTCGTAATCATTCAGTGAAAGAAGTTGTCTGTAAAACGGGTAATGTCTCAGCACATATCTGGCCATGACTGTCTCGAACGTTGTCACACTCGAGAATGAAACTTACTCGTGATACTTCAGTCTTAAATAATCATTCACCCATCCATCCATACATACATAGCATAAAGAACTGAAACACATTAGACATTTTCTCTGTTTTTTATTTGCTCATCTACCACTCTACAGGAACAAGGATCGTGTTATGTCATGGAACATGTTAATCCGACTCAAACGGGCGTCCTGGTACACTGGTACCGTTCAAGTACAGTCCCATGCTTTTAATGATGTCTCCTTGGAAACAGAAGGGATTAGCCGTGTACGATCCGTTCACCCCATTGGACCTCACCAAGGCGACAATCAGTCGACTGGGAACTTCATCTTGAAACATGGCGTCCCAGTTAAAACTCAGACTGGACGAGGCGACTGAGGCCATCTTGACCACGGATCTTTCGTATGGGTACATGGCATTACCTTTCTCGAACTGTTTGTTGTGGGCCACAATGAGAGCGTCGTTGATTCTGAGTTTGCATACTTTCAGGTACACGTCTTGCAGTTCGACGGTGTAATCCTTATCGGTCTCTTCTGACATCAAGACAAAGGATGTGCTGGAACGAAACAGTTTGAGTCGCACGTCCACACCATTCACCAGTTGACGTTGGAAACCGAACACGTCTTCCATGATCAGTCCTGTTAGGGTGAGCGACTTGCTTCCGGCGATAAAACCTCCGCGGTTGATGAGACCATCATTCCCGCCGGCGTAGGGGTCCCCGGAGTTGAACTCGTCTACGGTGACACCCGAATCTTTGTAATACAGCTGAGTAGTCAGTTGGCTGGTCTGAGCATCTGTTCCATAGTCGAGAATGGTTTCCATGAGGGCTTTGTAAGGGTAACCGCCATTGCTGGAGCTGACCTGTTGACCTTGTAGGAACACGCTTACCTGACTCCACAAGCTTTGCAGAGTGAGGTTGACGGGCCCTACTTTTTCTTTATCGGCTAAGGGTGTTTTGTCGATATGAGTAACCTTCAGTTTGACGTGAAGTCGAGTCTGACTCAAGTCGATGTAGTCTTTCCCTCCGTTGGGAATGTGAAATTCCACCGGACTGGAATCAGTGATGACAGACAGTGGCCTAATGTTTTCGTAATAGTGTTGCAGAATGCTGGTTTGATAGGGAGGCAAGTCGAATAAATCTAAGCTATTTGGCAGGGCTTCGGTAAACTCTTTCTCCGTCAGTACAGACATGGTTACTGGTTGAAGATGTCTCTGGGGTCGATAGCGGGAGTATCTTTAAACTCGATGAAGGATCGTTTGGAGCTGTTACCTTCACGACGTACTTTCTTCGAAGTGACAACCTTGTCCCCTGCTTTGCGTTTTATAGCCTTGGTTCGCTTCTGAGCTGCCTCGGCTCTCTGGACCACGTTCTGATTAGGTGATGTCATTGTTATGTTCAAGTTAGAGTCGCGACTAGGTGGTACTTTGACTCGGGGTGCGATGGGAATGATACGCGACCTGGGTCGACCTTTGATCAGCTGTTTTCCCGCATGGTTATTTTTGCGATCTACTAAAAAGTCCACAAACTTCTTGGTGTCGGGAATGTACAGTTTCCGTTCCATCGTGCTTAGCTCAGAAAGGGATACCGTCGCAACACGAGTGATACGTTCACGGTCTCTCTCAGAAATGAATGAGGGATTCCTTCTGCACACTTTATATACACTTCGATTTCCGAGGTGTCTCTCACGATGATGGGTAAGTACCAAGGATAATGAAAATAATAGTTGGGTCCGTCTCTCAGATCGAGCCGTCTCAACAAAGGCGGATAATGTTCGCCCACGTGTGAACTATCGCATAGGATACACATCACATCAATGGTGGTATTATTGATATCTTTCAACTCTAGTTTGCCTAGTTTCATTTCTAACAGAGCCACCATCCACATGCCTTCTTGTTTCAAATGTTGAGACAGTTTCACTCGGAAACGGTAAGGCGTGTTGTCCGGGAAATACTCCTGTGAGTCTGCACTGTTAAACACGATGTATTTATCCATTTTACTTATTCTCCACTTCGCTTGCTTCTACCCAGGAATCGAAACTCGATGGCCAGCCTGCCCACCTGACCAAATAGTACACTTTCCCTTTGTCTTTCTTTTTCTTTAACACTTTTTCAATATCCCATGCGGCATCTAGATCTTTATCGACACGCTGTAATTCTTCTTCGTAACAGCGCCCCTTTAAGAGCTCGTCGTGAAAATCTTTCAGTGTGTATAATGGGATGGTTTGTCGGCGATGACGCGTTGCTACTTTAAATAACTCTTCCGTCCATCGCAAGTTGTGTTCCTTGGCAAACGGCTTTCTCAAAGAACTGATTCTCACGATATCCCCTATTTTATACTTAAATGAACGGGACTTGTGTGTGATGAATGTGGATGGATTCATGTATAAATGTCCCCATACTTTGACTTCGTTTTGTTGGTTCACTTCTGCAGGGGACCACTCGCCTAAACTTCTGTGTACGGTGTGATTGTAATTATGTACTAAATCGGCTAACACACCGATATAGCGCTGTGTGTTCTTGTGTGTTAAATACCTCGCTATGAGCGACCTCAACGTTCGAATGACCCTCTCGGCGTAATTCGCTTTAATGTCTTCGTTCTGAGTGACGAACAGTTTGATGGACTGACGCTCTATAAAATCCTTGAAAACGCCTTTGAATTCTGTACCTTTATCCACTCTGATGGTTTGCGGCTTGCGACCGTGTGACAGAACGTCTTTGAATGCCTTCACGATGGACTCGGGCTTCTTGTTTCTTAAAGGGGCTACCCACAGATAGCGTGACAATATGTCAATGGCTATCAACACATAACGTATACCGTCGTTGGCTTTAGCATAGCGACTCATGTCCATCAGATCGACATCCCACTGTTGATCTATTCTGTTAACGAGTACTCTGAGGCGTTGAAATGTGTGTTTCACCGGCTTATGAAGCGTGTAAGCATCGTGCTTACTCAACTCGGTTTTTACCTTGGATGCGGTAACCTTATTCCCTAGTCTTTTCAAACTTTGTTGAAATTTGGAGGCACCGTAATACGCACCTGGGGACTTAGGGTTAAAGTAATAACTCTCTAAGGCTTTCCGGTGAGACGATGACATGTTTCTATCTCGTGAGGTAATTTCAACTGTAAACCTTGTGTAGACCTACTCTCTTTTATATACACGTCGATGATAACAGACACATGAAATGTACAATACTATCGTTTTATTACATATAAGACAAACATGATTGTACAGGTATTGAAATAACAACTTGTAATTTTGAATGATACACAGCAACATACAGTGAGTTCACCGGAATGCTCTTTCTAAATACAACATTTTCCATACACGGTCTTGTATGTCTTTTAACCAGTCACTTGTTTTAAAGTGAGTGTCCAGATAATCTTTACACCGATACTGATAGATGACATGGGAAGACACGCTGTTTAGGCTCGGATCTTCGTGAATGAGTCGTATCCATTGATCGATCACACGATCGTCATTCGCTTCGTCTAAGGCTGTGTGCATGTATTGGTGTATTTTGTGTTGGTCGGACAAGTCCTGACACGTATGGTACTGACTGTCAGTTTGTTCAAACATACATCCAAAACACAGTTGAACGCTGAGACGTTTGATAATTTTGCACAGTTCCAAGGTATAACATAGCGTCAGTAACGACAACATGTAGTCAGTCACTTCAACAGATTCTACTTCTTCTATGACGATAGCCTTCATCTCCTTCATGATGACTCGTTTTAACTTCTTATCCTCATTGGGGACTTTCGTCTCGGCATCTTGTATACAGTGTTCCCGATGGTGAAACCATTGAGTTGACTGTATAACGACTGTTTCGTGGATACGATCGGGTTCGCGTTGCACATACTTCCAGGTGAAGAAAGTCATTCTTTCACTCGACATTCTATATAGGATACTAGTTCTCTTTCTCGGCTAGCATGCAGGGATGGGTGCGACTCGTAAGGAAGTCTCATCCCTGAATGATTCGCTATGCACGGTGTACCTTCTTTTTATATCTGTTATATTTAGAACATCTGCTGCACAGCTATAACATACTCACACATTGTATGCTCTTCAGTCATCCAAAAGATGGATTTCTGCTGCTCGTTTGCATGGCTCTAGGATAGGGTACACCTAAATGTTTATTCGATATCTGATGTCGACACACGTCTGTTGTAGGTGTTGTTCAACTAACTCGTGACGGTTGAGACTTAATTCTCGGATTGGGAAGGAGATATCCGAGAGAGGAACTTAAAAGCGCAGCCCATAAATTCGAGTTTCCTTTGTCTAAAGATAAATTCACGATGCAGGTAATCACTACGATATAGATAATGAAAATTTGAGAGAAAAATACAGTTTCTGGCTTGGCTGTCTTCCTACCGAATAGTCTCCAAGGCTCTCCAGAGCTACTCCTAGTGAGAGGTTGTGCCTCTGCACGCTCCTCCATTCTAATGAAGCGATCGTTGATGGTTCATCGCTTATATTATAACATTGCTGAGTTCAATCCACTGTTATCTCAAAGCGTGGTATTGTGGATAATCAATACAATAACATAAACAGTCTATGTCTAAAATATAACTTTCTGTAGCTTATTTGAGTTAACTATAACTAACACATACTTCATGGATTGTATGCTATACAATCATCCAAGTAGAGCACTGACTTTGAGGAGCTGGCGCCATTCTTCCGACTTAAGGGCTATGCCTTTACGCGTAGGTTTTAATTCTCGTTCACCATCGGGTAGCCACCACTGCCGTATATCCACGACTTTGTTGGGTGAATTCATGGTGAGGAAAACGTTACGGCTTAACGCTAGACAGACAGAACAATCTTCCATGTTTAGGATTTGAGATAACCAGTCTGAGACAGTGTTTTCAATAACCTTCAGCTGCGTCCATTGATCGAGAGATAAACAAATACCAGTTTTGGTGGGATAGAGTAAACCTTCAGCACTCCATTCGTATTGACGAACGTCTATTTTCCAGTCTCCACTCCAACAGGTGGTCTTGATGTAGCGACTACTGCCGATATGAAACATGTTCTCTCGATCGTCTCTCTGTTCTTCTGATGAACCCACTGCTTGCTTTGTGCATCCCTGAGATGGGCTTGTACTGCTCGTTGCCATGACTCTAGGATAGTGTTGTGATCTTCTAGGTAGTAAGCAATAACACTGAGCAAAGTGAAAAACATTCAGCGTGGTACCGAAGACTTCTATGTTGTAAATGATTCATTATTCGACCGAATCTGTTTCATATATCGCGGGTGTGGTGACGTGACGTAGACGTGTTGAAACTTGTGATGAGTGGACAAATGATTTGAAAACAAATGATTCAGAGTTGTGATTCGCTTTAAAAAAATGCACAAATACAAACTTAATGAAATGAAAATCCTGTATCAGGAGAGTATAGCACCCATATTATTGGGATACGTATTGTATTGGAGCCTCACCATTAACAAATGATAAATATACTGTAACAAAGAAAACTGAAGAGAGAGAAAATATTGAATGTCTCTTTATAGTATTGTCACAGGGTAATATAACATTATGATTACTGGGGGAAAGCCAGTGTGTTAAAGGTCTTTATTTTCCTGAGTACTTAAGGCAATCGGGATAAAGTAATAAATACTTGTCATCTGGGGTTTGCTTAAGGCACTCAGGACAAGGACAGACCCAGCTTTGGTTGTGAGGTACAGATCTACATATAAGAGACAGACTGACCCAGCATTGGTTTGGAGGTAGAGCTCTTCTGATAAGAAAGTGAGTGATTAAGTTTAGTTTTACACTTCCTTTAGCAATATTCCAGGAATATCACAGCGGGGGAACAACAGAAATGGGCTTCAGTGATTGTACCCATGTGGGGAATTGAACCTGGGTCTTCGGCATGACGAGTGAATGCTTTAACCACTAGGCTACCCCACCGCCCCACTGATAAGAGATAGTGTGAGAGTTAAAGACAACGGTGAGAGGAAGAAGTGAAAGGAGCTAGTTTTGGGAGAATGTTCCATGTGTCTCATCACACTGATAATAACTAAACTGAATCGAACTCAATACACAGTTGTGTTTTAATTACTTGGTCACACTATAATAAAGTTTGATGATGATGATGTTAGTGATGGGAGTCTGGGCAACAGAAAGTCAACGTGTCTGAGCAGCTGAGCAAGCTGAATCCGTGATTCCCAGGGACAGCAGCTGTATGAACACCTAGGTTCTCTGAATAGTTACTGAACTTGCAGAAGAATAAGTTTGTAATTAGAAACATTCTGTAACCACACTTATTTAACAGTTTAAATGATACTTCTTGTTAAAACAACAAAACAGAATATTGACAACACAACAAAAAATAAGTTTCAACAGCGACGTATTACATTCATCAATATGTTGCTTCTTACAAGACAATCATCAAATAGTACCCAAATACCTGAGTATTTTAAACTTGGATGATGGTAAGAACGAGGTTATGTGAATCAGACAATGTGTGGTTAAAATGCAGCATCACAGCCATTTCTGCCAGATAATCATTGTCTTTAAAAAAAACAAATGGTGGAATCAAGGGGGGATAACTTTGACAGTGCTTTCATCTCACCAGCCCAACCATAAACAGAATGTGTCCAAATTGGCGCACTATTTCAAAATGTTGTCTTAGGGACCGTTCAAAATTTATGGCTAGGGGGCTGATGATGACTTTTAAGGAGAAGCATGTACAATGTGAATGAGATCAGTCACAACTTCAATCAAACTAATCAATCATCCTGTACAAAGAGTGTCACCATTTTTAAAGCATCACAAAAAAAGCCAAAGACTCCCATCCTGCCACACCTATATGCATATTAAGGAGTTTTTGTTCTTGTGTCTTCAATATAGAGGCACGTTGTCCCATTCCAGACATTTGCAATGGAAGTGATTGATGACGAGATATTTAAACAGCATCCATTTTTTAAGGGTGTCACCATTTTGCAAGCATCAAAACAAAAGCCAAAGAATCCATCCTGCCACACCTAGATGCATAGTTGGGCCTGTTTTTGTTGTTGTTTCTTCAACATAGAGGCACGTTGTCCAGTTCCAGACGTTTGCAGTGGAAGTAATTGAAGATGAGATATTTATCAAGCTTTGAGAACAGCATCCATTTTTTTAATCCAGGGGCTCACTCCAAACATTCCACTCGCTACAGTACCAGGATACACCTGGATGATGCAGCTGTAGTCAGACCTGTATTTGGATGCTGAGCTTCCGGGTGACACAACATAAGTCGGATCTTCTGACATTAACGAGGTGAACTTCAGTAACTGTCATCAAAGTCGAAGACATTCTCGGTAAGGCATCTGATCATGTGGCGTTTCTCTCTGATGATAGCATCCATCTTGTGCTGAACAAGCTTCAGGGCATCTCGGGATACCTGTCTACAGCCAGCATCCCATTCTGTCAACAAAAGAATGGATGTCAGTTACATCATCCTCAAATACTCGTGAATCATATTTTCATTTAATACCTCTCAACAAAGAGTATCAGTACAGCTCTACTACTTCCCTATAACACATTCATGCCAATCTACTTCACAGTGTCAGCTGACATTTGCCTGTAATTTCACACAACCAGCCCTCAAACATGGAGTATCAGTACTGTTCTACTACTTCCCTATAACACATTCATGCCAATCTACTTCACAGTGTCACCTGACATTTGCCTGTAATTTCACACAACCACCCCTCAAACATGGAGTATCAGTACTGTTCTACTACTTCCCTATAACACATTCATGCCAATCTGCTTTACAGTGTCAGCTGACATTTGCCTGTAATTTATCACAACCAACCCTCAAACATGGAGTATCAGTACTGTTCTACTACTTCCCTAAAACACATTCATGCAAATCTACTTCACAGTGTCACCTGACATTTGCCTGTAATTTCTCACAACCAGCCCTCAAACATGGAGTATCAGTACTGTTCTACTACTTCCCTATAACACATTCATGCCAATCTGCTTCACAGTGTCAGCTGACATTTGCCTGTAATTTCTCACAACCAGCCCTCAAACATGGAGTATCAGTACTGTTCTACTACTTCCCTATAACACATTCATGCCAATCTGCTTCACAGTGTCAACTGACATTTGCCTGTAATTTCTCACACAACCAGCCCTCACACAACCAACTCTCAAACATGGAGTATCAGTACTGTTCTACTACTTCCCTATAACACATTCATGCCAATCTGCTTCACATTGTCAGCTGACATTTGCCTGTTATTTCTCACAACCAACCCTCAAACATGGAGTATCAGTACTGTTCTACTACTTCCCTATAACACATTCATGCCAATCTGCTTCACAGTGTCAGCTGACATTTGCCTGTAATTTATCACAACCAGCCCTCAAACATGGAGTATCAGTACTGTTCTACTACTTCCCTATAACACATTCATGCCAATCTGCTTCACAGTGTCAGCTGACATTTGCCTGTAATTTCTCACAACCAGCCCTCAAACATGGAGTATCAGTACTGTTCTACTACTTCCCTATAACACATTCATGCCAATCTGCTTCACAGTGTCAACTGACATTTGCCTGTAATTTCTCACAACCAACCCCTCAAACATGGAGTATCAGTACTGTTCTACTACTTCCCTAAAACACATTCATGCCAATCTGCTTCACAGTGTCAGCTGACATTTGCCTGTAATTTCTCACAACCAGCCCTCAAACATGGAGTATCAGTACTGTTCTACTACTTCCCTATAACACATTCATGCCAATCTGCTTCACAGTGTCAACTGACATTTGCCTGTAATTTCTCACAACCAGCCCTCAAACATGGAGTATCAGTACTGTTCTACTACTTCCCTATTACAGATCCTTGAGCTCCATTATTTTCCCTTCTGCCTAACTGTTTCAGAAATATTAAAAAGCTAAATGAAAAGTCTGGATTTCCCCAGGTTCTAAATCTCCCTTCTCACTGGGGCTCCTTTTCAGTTTAAAAGGAATTGTTTGTTTGTATAAAAAATACATATATTCAGAAACTAAGCGTTAGACTACCAACTCCCAACAAAGAGTATCAATTTTGCTCTACTTTTTCCCTGTAACAGATTCATGCCAATCTGCTTCACAATGTCAATTGACATTTGCCTATAAATTCACACAACTAACCCCAAACATGGAGTACTAATACAACTCTACTACTTCCCTGTCAATCTGCTTCATGGTGCTAACCAAGATTTGCCTGTACTGTTATACAACTTACCCTCATCATTGCAGCAGGTGTGGAAGGCTGTCCACACAGAGCCTGAGAAGATCTCTTTGGGCAGCGGAAACTCATGGGTCAGGTACAACAGACTGCCCAGAAACAGGAACGCATGACGATAAATATTCTGTAGAAAGACACAAAATTCCATTGACACCAATGTGTGCAAAATTGAAAATTTTAACTATAAATGGTATATTTTTATACTTATTACATCTCACGACTGCACCTCTCTCTCTCGGTTCGACTGTAAACTTTTTCCCATAGACCTCCTTGTCCATTCGCCTGTGCACTCCATGCTGCTTTCCTTATTGGATTGCTTCCTCGTCCCCATTAAAGCGTGCAGCATGCTCCACTAACAGCCCACGTGACTACCTCTGAATCATTATACTCGTTCTTGGAGCCAATGTCGTTATCAGAGTAGTGGGAAGGCTGGGCGGGCATCCATTGCGTGAGACAGGATAAGTATATAAATATCAATCAATCTTTATTTTAGTACTTAAAAAGGCCACAGGCCTGTAGTACATTTAGAGTTTACATGAGTAGATAGAAGTCATTTATAAATTCTTATCTGTAACAATACTTTTTCTTAAACTTATAGCAAAATAGATGTACATTGCCAGATTCTGTAATAGTGATGTGGTAGTACCTGTTAATAGTGAAATTAATGTTCTTACACTTGGATGCTAATAATTGTATGAGCTTTAGGTAGCTTATTGTATAGGCTTTAGGTAGTTCGTTCGTAGAGTCGTATGAACAGGACAGATTAGAAGGAAACGTAGTTCATCCTCAACAGTATTCATATTACATAATTAACATATTCTGTTTTCTTTTTATATACCTGCATACCTGCCAGTTTCAATAAATAATGCTTGGGAAGAGCAACGAAAACGAGAGAAAGAGCGATACGAAACTTCTTTACGTCGATTTTTGCGAAATTGTCTTCAAAATGTATGTCCATTGATCATAGTATAAACATTTTGTGGATAGAAGTATTGATTCCGACCAAGATATGCAATTTATAGTGAAAATTTTCAATTTCTGAAACTTATCCTATCTCAAGACTTCACTTATCCCACGGTTGGGCGGCAGGTCGCAGATTACCCTGTGTCTGGACAGTACGAACAGCAAGCCGTGTGGACTGATGACAACCGTAGATAGCGATGCACAAGGGAGGCCTGTTATGCATGGACACAACTCCTATGCTTGTGATAGGTTCTCCAGAACCTCTTGGCTTACTAAGCGCAATGTCTTCCAGGGAGATGAGTGCTCCCGAGCGATGTGGTGTTCGGCCACGACCTTGTACTAGACAACGGATGCAACTCTACAAGTAGGCCTAGCCTTGCCACAATTTACAAGGTGCCCCCCAAATGAAAGTCTTTCAATTAGAATTGGGCCAGCCCAAGCAGACTATCTTGCTGGTGGTCTGGTTTCTGTATTACCTTTGAAGAGCAGTAGAGCTGGAGGGGGAAATCCGTACACGCTTAGGTCTTCTCATGATATTGACAGCATGTTGAGGTCGCACATTAGAGGATATGGAATTGGGGCCACAAAAATTGGTAGTTAATTGTTGAATCTTGTGGCGAACAGGTCTACTTGGGACCATGATAACGGGTAGATCATCGACTAGAAGATCTGAGGTAGCAGTTCCCATTCCTGGTTGGAGTGAGACAGGGTATTGCCCATTACATTCTTCACTCTGGGAATTACAGCCTTGAATTCTAGGTCGTTTATATGCAGAGCCTGTTCGCCGGATGACCACAGCCCGGCCGCAGCTTGGTGGTAGAAAAAGTGAGCATCCCAAAACATGAGGGATACATTGTCGAACAAATGATGAGACATTAGAGACTCCAGCACAGACGTTCCATTCGTCAAGCCACCACTGAAGGACTGGACGAATCAGTTCTGGAAGGCGAATCAGTCTACGAACAGATGATGAGTCAGAGAGAAGGGCATCATAGAGACTCCGGTGCACACATTCTGTTTGTCGAGCCACCGGTGAAGGACCAGACGAAGTCGAATCAACTCAGCAGGGTTGTTGGTCTGAAGAAATGGTCGGAGGAACCGCTGTATCGGTCAAAGTTGTAGCTGGCCTCTGTAGGTTAGGGCTTGTGCCGACGTCAAGAGGGCCAACAATTCCTGCCTCTGGCAAAGGGTTGTTGCTGAATTTTGGCCCACCTGTCTAGGGGAACAAACATCATTCGCTGATGGGTATCCAACACTGCGTCAATGAATTGGAGTCGTTGAGTCAGCGTTAACTCCTATTTTGCAACGTTCAACAGCCACCCTAACTACTGATCCAGCTTGGTGGCGGACTGGACTTGATGTAATAGTACGACTAGATCCTGCGGAGCTTGAATATAGTCGTCAATGTAACTTTCGAATGTAATACCTTGCCGATGAAGGAAACTCGTGATCTGCTTGGTAATATGGGTGAAAAGCCACAGAGCCGTGGAAATTCCAATTGGCAGGACTCAAAGCGGAAGAATTTCCGATGCCCTTGGTGGATTGGCATGTGAAAATAGGCGTCCTGTAGGTCAAGACTGATGAGCTAGTCTCCACTCTTCAGAATGGAGCGAATTAGACTGATCAGCACCATCCTGAAGTGGGGTGTTGGTTGCAGATACTGGGCACTGAATAGCTTCATGTTGAATATGAGCCGGAAGTTTTGGAATGTATCTTTGGTACCAGAATAATAGGGGAGTAGAAGCCTGGAGTGACAGGCAACGGACCGAGAGGCTTGATTGCACATTTGTCTAGGAGCGTACCTATAGTCGAGCGCAGGGTCTGCAACTGGTCCAGAAGGTAGGTTCGATGAGGCAGGCAGGACGTCAGAGGAGGCTTCCCACTGAGAAGCATCTGGTAGCCAGCTGTCAGAATAGCGATGTGCTGAATCGTTCAGTATGGTCCAGTTTGGGGCGAAGGTACTCAGTCTCCCGCCTACTGGGCTGTGGGAGTTACCAGTCGTGCAAATATGTCTGCAAGTCCGAGCCTTGGGGTCGGCTTAGGGAGGGCAATGGAATGGTCCACCACGGTTCGATTTTCTACCCCTTCCTCGACCTTGACCTTGGGGTCCACGAAAAAGGTCCTTCGACTCAGGGTTGGTAGGGGTGAAACTTGCATTGCTTGAACAAGTTTTGGAGGTGAGTTTTCTGTAAATTTAAGAGTTCAACAGAGACCTGGAAATGGTTCTCCTTGGCCACCTTGGTGCAGACTGATCATGCCACTAAACAGGGAGTCAGATTACTCAGAAGACCAAGGTTGTCTAAATAGTTCCGCCTCAAATCTTTCATCCCAAGATGATAAATTGAGACGTACAGATAGAGTATTGCCGAAAAAATATGACAGCTGGTTGAGGATAATCTGGTCCAGAATAAGCGTCATACAACACCTGATGTAGGCATGCTCCAAAAGCAGCAGGAACAGCATCGAGATTAGACAGTTGATCGACAGCAGAGTGTTGCACACTGCAGAGTCCATGTGAACTAATTCTCTATCCTCAACAAAAACTGGTGAAGTTGAACGTTTACCACAGAGCGTGAAGACATCTTCATCCACTGGAGGAGCAGAGGGACAGAGTGGTGATATCATGAGTGTGAGCAGCAGCTGGAGGATATCTAAGCACTGAGAGCCCGTCCTTGAGGACTCTCGAAGTGAGGCAGATAACTGTAAGATGCACGGACGTGGACGTAGAGTGATAGTACACAAATCTCTATTCTTAACGGCATAAGAACAATACAGATCATCCGGTGATCTGCTCATTGGGAGATGTAGTTTTTCAACAATCCAGGCTAAGACGTGACACGGTTCAACCAAATCTTAACAACCCTCCAGGGTAGATATGTCCGAATGTCCAGAAGACTGAGAAGGGATGTCCCCATGAGATGAGACGGCTAGTCGAAGCAGCTGGAACAGATTGCGAGAAACACGAAGTCTGACATTGATTCCTGGCAACCGTAATAGCACACAGCATTGTGTCCAAGTCCAGCGCTGATGTCGTGTGCTGGACTCCAAGATTCAGAAATCATGTGAGGGTTTAAACGAGGAATGAGAGAGCACTGGGTTCGAAGATGGCTCAGGCCTAGAGGTAGCGGAAGAAATAGCAAGCCGACGCGTAGGTGAGCGGCGATCCTATGAGGAAGAGAGAATCAGTGAGTGCAAACGGTCTGACCAAGTGCAGTTGGGTGAATTGACACGCTGATGCAATCCAGTTGAATTAATTCAGCCTGAGGAATCAATCAATAAGTCCGGTGGCATGATTTGGTTTGGCATGGAGAATTGGTTAGGCGATGATATCTGGTACGGAAAGGCGAACTGGTTCATACAACCACAGCGATGAGATGGTGAATCGGTTCGACCATGGGAATAAATTCGGTGTGGTGAATCAGTTAGACTGTATGGATTGATTTGGTGTGGTGAATCGATTCGGCTGTGCGAAACAGATTGTTCTGGTGAATCGATTCGGCTGTGTAAATCGATCCTGTGTGTTGAATCAATTCAACTGTGTGAAACGGTTCATTGTGGTGAATCGATTCGGCTGTGTGAATCGTTTCGGCATTCGGCTTGAAGAATCAGTGTGTAGGGGTGAATCAGTTTGAAGTGGTTATTAAGTTCGGTGGGGTGGTGAATCAGAATGGCGATGGGAACTGGTTCTGCCAGCAAAACTGGAAAGTCGGGATGATAACTCACTGCAGTGAGAGATGGATCGCTGTGATGACCGAGATGGCACAGGAAATCTACTACAGAGATGCGAACCAGTTCGGGAATGCGATCTGGAAAAGCTGAATAAATGTGAGCGGCCTGGTGAGTTAGAACGGTGTTTGAGTCGTGAAACACTGGAACGAGTAGGTGAACCTGAGCGCATAGTAAGCTCCAGACTGGAAGAGGCGTGCGTTAGCTCCTTCCGATTTGGTGGTGGGGAGGCTGACACACGTTTCCCTGAATGAGACTGGCCAGGTTCCACTGATCACTGAGGTGGAATCGAAGATCTGGATGCTGATAGTGTAGAGCGCAGATCCTGTGTAGTAGTAGACATTGTGGGGGATGTTCTACCACCACAACCCTTGAATGGATTGATGCCGAATGGCTTGGTGGGAGATCAGCCCCTAAAAGTTTCCGAAGGTCCTC